TCTCAAAGCTCTTTACAAAGTGAGATGGAAGTGCTAATGGCGAAAGGCAGTCTACTAAAAATCGTTGGCAATTGCTGATGTGGAACTTTCATTAGCTTTTATGCAGCCTTTAACACATCCACTGGTTTTATTAAGAGAATTAAAGGGGGGCAGGACAGTAAGATTGTTTCATCTTGTCCTTGGAGCATTGACTGTCAAAGAGATTGATGCAGTAAATAAAGTGTTTGGGGTAATAGTAACCAATCTGGGTGAATTTGATCTAACAACAGCTCAGAGCATGACACTAGACACTTTTTACCAAAAACCAAACCAAACCAAAACCAACAAAGCCCCAAAAAACCCCAAACCTCCACAACAGTTGGCTTTAAGACACTGAGTTTTCCTTCTTTCTTTCCTCATAAAACAGCAGTGCTTCCTCTAGGAACAGTCAGGCCTGTATCTGTCTCTAATTTCCCCAAATAAGGGATAACACTGTTATCTCTAGTTATTTATGAAATCCATTAATTCTCCTTTTGATTCAGAGAATGCAATGGTGCTTCCCCTTAAACAGGCAGAGGACAGAAGCACTGCAGGAGAGGGCTCACAGTTACGCTTCATGCTGTACCCATGTCATTTTTATTCTGCCCTGATCACTGTAAGACTGAAGTGCACCTCTGGTGTGGAATAGGCACAGCCAGTCTGCCCAGACTCCACGTGGCCCCACCACTGGGGAAAACTGGACTGCCACACGGGCAGGACACAGACGCAGAGAGATCACTCCTCCACTCAAGCCTCCAAGTACAAGTTAATCCAAAACCTTCCCTATGTAACTATGATTCAGGGCTAACCATCAGCAAAATCATCTTGCTGAATGCTACACCACCTTCAGATAGGCTGTTCATCAAATACAGGGGTGTTCTAACGGGCATGGTGATTTGGCTCTTACTTGCCCACTTCTATTTCTTACTCCAATTATTCTTTGCCCCCATGGTTTTAGGGAACAGACACTGAATTAAGTGTGTTCAGAAATGTTAGTCCTCTTGCAGTTTCACATGTTGCATTTGCTTGAGTAAAGGGAGCTAGTAGCCTTGCTTTGATATATAAATTTAGTATGTATCCTTATGATCTGTTCTCTCAGATTTCTTGCCATCAGTCCAGCTTCTTGTTTCTGTCTTTTGATTTGTCACAGAAGTGCATATTCACTTATTCACTGCTGGTGCTTAAAAAAAAAAAAAAGGGGGCAGGCCCAAATATACATCCCACAGCATTTTAGAGCTGCTAGAAATAATAATTGATGCAAGTAGTGCTCTTAAGGTTAAAAGTACCAGTTGATATAAGCAGTGCTTTCTAAGTTAAAAGCACTACACAACCTCTGTCCTAGCTGAGGATAAACATTTCTTACCACCGTGCAAATTAGTAACAAGGTGTCACTGGCAGAGACAGAGGGTGGGTCTCCAGAGCCTTATTCTAGCATGATGTCCCCTGAACAGCATTGCCTCTGAATGCAAATATTTGCCCTGAATAAAACGTTCAGGCTTCCTACCTAAATAAACAGCAGCCTTGGCATTTACAGTAATTAATGTCACCTTTTGACAGCACTAAAGAAATACATTTACAGCTGTCATACGTAAAGAGAGGACTGACTTAAAGCACTTGAGAGACTTGGCTCATTCATTTATTCCAGGACAGTTGCTAATATGGTGGTTTAATGAAAGGTGGCAGAAACAGAGGAGGATTCTTAACTTCAGCACTCAAATGTAATAATAATAGTTACTGTGAAAATACACAGAGACATTAAGTGACCTATGCTGCAAAGATTCCCCTTTGACAAAGGTATGAGTACAGAAGTTGGTACATTTTTTTATTACCTGAATTAGCTGTCAGTGTGATAGTAGCCAATGAGCAGTAAGTTCATTGCACGTGCACCCATCTCTGTGCACACACACACAAGCGCATGTAGGTACAGAGATATACACACACATAGGATATAAGTACATTGATAAACATGACCACGCACATGTGTGTGGTCATATGTTTAGCAATTTGCTTACATTCTATAATCAACAGTATTATCTTAAAGACATTAAAAAGACATTTATAAAAAGAAACATGCCTTTTTCTGACGTAAAAAGAAAAATTCAGCAGAAAGTAGCAATGTGTCATTGATTACCGATCTCTCTCCATGATTAACAAGACAAATATTTCCCTGTTGCAGACTGAAGCAACAAGCAAATAATATGTCTAATATTTCACTCACCTATCCAACCTGGATTTTTTTAACTTACTAAATTCCTGTGGCCAAAACCAACGTTGTTGAGCCTTTCAGCTTTCAGTGTGTTTGGTTAAGGGCCATTGCTGAGGCCATCAGCAGGGTCTCCAGCTCAGTAGCAATAATGATGGTGATAACAGTGATCCTTGCTTTTCCACTTCTTCCTCCTCACAGCTGCTGTTACACCTACCACCCCACACCTACCGTGTAGCCAACCTCCTTACACAGAAATCAGATAAATACTCTGTGCAGTGGTTAATGCTTTCTCTGACTGCAGCTTCAGCTAGCTGGAAATGAGGAAAAATACAACTCAGAGATGGTTTGTCTGTCCCTGTCTTGCCTGTTTGATCCAGGGCAGGCACTGAGGTAACTCTTGCCAAGCAGACTGCAAGCAGGGTGGGTGTTAGCACTATCCGTAGTGGAGATCTGAGGTTTCTAGCTCAGGCTAGAACCCTTCCTGTTTGAGGCTCTTGCAGCGGTGGTCTGAAATGCCCCTGCCTCGGGGGAACAGCTGGTGGTGTGATACAGAGATGATGGGTTTTGATCAAGGAGCTCCTGGTACACGCTTCTTATCTCCACTCCACCTCCTTCTTAGGAAAAAAACAGGTTTTATCAAGTTGATGTAATCTCTAACTGTCTTTGTTGATTCTGGGAATTTAATCATCTTGGCATTTTTCAGTCTCAGTACTCAGCCGTTCGTGTGCACTGCTTCTAACGCAGCCATCTCCTCCCTGTTGAGCAAACTAGTCTTTAGCAGCATTCCAGAGACTTCCTAGTGACAACCCTAGCACTCATGAGAAAAATAGACCACACTCTCCTTCCACAGCCTAAGTAACCAAAAAGACTTCTAGCTAGCAAGCCTTCCTGTAACTGCAGTGTTGTTAGCCACGGAGCCACCCACAAACACAAGTAGTGATGAGTTGAATCTGATTTTATCAGATGAAGGGGGAAGTGTTTCTTCACGGGAAGTGAAACAAAACTAAAGCAGAAATTGCTGTTATTATTTTTACAGAGTATTTAGCTTTGAGAAATGTTATTCAAAACCTAATATGATAAAAGGCAAGATCTACATCTAAGTTCATGCCTCTCCAGCCAAATCCTCTAATGATCTCTCCACATGTCATGTAACATTACAATTTCATGTATTCGGCATTAACCCCACGTATCACATCCAGTTTTCAGCTCACTGCCAGCAGTCCTTCTGACAGAAGGACTGTATTATGACCTAGAAAGCAAGCCAGCTTCCATACAGCACAGCACCAAAACAGGGTATTTGGGGGTTCTCAAGATACCTAATCTTCTTCTTTCAGTCACTGACCCAGAGATTAAGGAAAGGCATAATTTCATCCCAAGATGTCCTGGATCTCATATATTGTCTCACAGAGCAACCAAAGATCTGCAAAGTTGTTCCATCTCTTCTGTCTACCCTTTAATACATAACACTTAAGGTAATGAAAGCAAAAGGAGTGCTAGCAGGTTGATCCCAATGGCTAGTCCCACCTCTAGGAACACAAAAGTTATATTTGCACAGGAATGGGCCATGACTTTCTTTTTTCCTGCTTCTAAAAGACGAGTTTTGGTGAACAAAACATCCTGGAAGGACAAAGCATGCTACTGATCAGCCACAGTACTGTATAAATGAAGACACTGAATACTAGTGAGCACCCCCTTAGAAACACAACCCATTACAACCTTAGAAATGTCTTATTTTTAACCCAAGAGTAAATGTCACTGGAAACAATTAAAGTGGGCAGGTACATGGCAGACAGGGATATGGGAAGATAAAGGTTTACCTGAAAGACAATTGACATGTATCAGAAAAAGAAATGGTCTAGAACCAAAGTGGTTGGGAGGACTCCCTGTAGGAAGGAAGAAGCTGCCCTACAGAAAGGCTGATGAGGCCTCGTGGAAAGGACCTGCTCACTCAGCAGAAGCTTGTGACATACAGATGGCAAACAGCTGAATTCAGATGATCTGAAAATTGTTCTCATCTGTTACGGACTTCCCAAGTGGTGTTATCTTTTTCTGCCTCCTGATATCCTCATTTTAGAAGAGTAATGATGACAACTTTTCCTCTTTGTTAGTCCTCAGAAGATCTACGAATGGGAATCACTTAAAAAGGGGTCAGTATTTTTAATTACTATAATACACTGTCCTATAACCCAAATAGTCTCTCTCAAAAGCCAAACAATAATCTAGCTCAATTATTAGTTTATTATGGCAGTACCTCATCTTTTGTCAGAAATGCTGTTCAAAATTTCTTCTTTAGCTCTGTTCTCAACACACAACTGCACTGTTTATGGTTTCACACAAAGAACAAAAATCTAACCACTCTTCAGTACATCCATTTTTTCAACACATTAAAAAGATAGCATAGCATGATACTGATTAAAACTCCAACCAATTTAAATAGATGTAAAGAAGGACCTTCTTAAGCTTTTAACCTAAAAAATTCACCATAAACAGTAACATAATCTGTGCAAGTAGCCATAATGTTGTCTATACAATTGATATGTTAGTCTGTATCGCTTATACAAATAGCATCTGTTCTGTTTCTAGGCATTGCAAGTACTGCCAGGAAGAGGTATCTCTTACTGCACATTTCTTTTCAGACTTGTTTCCTTACATCTGGACTTCCTGAAACAATTACTGGAGTACAAGGGCTGGAGAAAGTTAGAAGTGGGGGACCAGTTTTACTTCCAAGATGAAACCAACTTCTTGTCATTCCTTCTGACAGGTGTAATAACAACAGAGCAATCTATTTCTTTTGTTTGTGGAATTTGATCAGCAAACTATTTATTTCAAACATGTGCTTTTCTTTAGAGATAATTTGCAAATTGCTTTTGTCCTCTGTGCTTGTCAGAAACAAATGTCATCATAATGCTGAAGTCCAGGACACAATATTCTACACTAGAAAAATAGTGTCAGAATTTGCACTGGGCCCTTCAGGGACACACAGGGTTTTAAAGGCTAACACATTAGCTTATAGATGACTCTTGGTAGCAGAAGGAAAATTGATTTTGTTTCCCTCCCATCTACCTCTCACAAAACATATTTTCCAATTTCTCATCTCATATACCTGGCTAGAAGAAGCAGTAATTCATTTTGAGCAGATATTGCATACTATTAATCCTAAAAATATGAGACAAAACAGAATAATCAGAGTTGTATGATAAATACTTACCTTCTACAGTTAATGCACCCACATGACAGTGCTCTTGTTCAGGAATTACGGGCAGTATCTTTGTGGTCTGTGCAGCAAGTAGAATCTCTTGTTTGCTGGTTTTCACTATTGAAAGTTAAAATAGTTTTAATCCCTATTATTAAACAGCAAGTACATCTGCAGTGTTAAAACATTGAAGCTGCGAGTCTGAAAATCATTGAGACCTATCTGAAGACAAGGAAGAGGTGGACAGCCAGTTTTTCAGTGGGATTTCAGTGCCTAGAGATGCAGATACACGTCAGGAACTCCTGAAAGTGCTAACCATGTTTTGTATTTACCTTTCTCTTGATGCTACTGGGACTACAACTTGCTGATCCTCAGTCTTCCTGGGAAGCAGCTTGAAGGTAGGCAACTAAACTGCTGTTGGAAATTTTTTTAGTAGTGAAAATACAAAAGCATGCAAATTTGGGGTTAACTAGACCTCCTAAAATACGAAAAGCTACAGTTGGCCAGTTAAGCAGAAACAACGGAAATTTAGAGTGTGGACTTTCTGATTCTTTTTCACATAAGGGCAACTCAAATTGCCACTCAGGAACATGTGATGTGGCCTCAGCTAACTTGTCATACACACAGGGAGGGCTACTGGGTATCATCCAGTCATTAACAAAAATGACAGTGTGCCCCTCAGAAGCAGGGAAAGGTGTGGTGATGCCTTTAGCACACTGGCAGCACAGATCCTGACATGATACCTTACTGGGATGCAGATAAAGAAATGCAGAAATAGCATTGTCAGGGAAATGAACTCAGAGCTGTTGATCCAATGCATTTTTCAAAGAACTACTGCAAAACACAAAAAATATTTCAATTGCAGGTCTATCCTGTCCCTGACCATCCGTAATTTCTGTAAACCTACAAATGGGCTTCTACTGAGTTCATAACAAGAGGATGAACTGTGCCACTTATATTTAGCTACATCCCTTCTCCACTATGTCATTTGGGCTTCTGTCTTTACAAACGCAATTAAAAAGTAAAGTTTGGATCTTGGTAATTAAGCAACTGAATATGAAAAGCAAAGTTAAAATAAAACTGGGGTAGTTTTAAAAATAGCAATGGATCTTGTTTCACCCTCAGGATAAACCTGGAGAGAAGGGGAACGTAGGCTGATAGTCCCTTCAGAGCCTGGGTGTAACACTGTACTGCATGCATGCAAACTAAGCTGAGAAATGGCCCCTTGTGCATCAGTGCTCTATGGAAAGCATGTAGGGGCTACAAAAAGCTCCCTAAAATTACCTGCATCCTATAGATTTTATCCTCTCATCTGAAAAATAATTAAAAATAAAAGCCTCAAAGTGGTAATAAGGCTTCACATTTTTCTCTGGAAATGTTGCAGCTCAGAAACATGTAAGTCTGTGTGAAATATTGAATACTATGACAAGCTTTGCTTTTCCCAGCATTATTCATCTAAGTGGCAGAGAAAAAGACTATTAATTATTCAGCTATGTCAGGAATTGAGGATCAGAACCGAATAGGTGATGCTTTACTTGGCCAAGATTAAACAAATTTCTCCTTTCTTGTCTTTGTATCTATTTGCTGCTGTAGAAGATGTATCTTGCCCATCCTCTTTGGTAAAAAGAATATGTATTGCAGAATACATGGAGGAATGAGCCTGAATTCACTGGGATGCCAGCCCTGACATTACTGAGCCAGTGTTTGTTTCTATTTTCAACCCACCAACAAACCTGAAACTGTAGCAACACATCGGAGAGATGGCAGAATTTTGCCTATTTCCTCTAATCTTGTAGGACAGGAACTATTATTTCAATAGGATAGTACATAAAACAATACAGGAATTCAAATGACTGAGAGGAAATTTGTCTTGTTTCTTATGCGTAAATTACAGCTGTCAAGCCCACTTATATCAAATGATACGGATGTCACAAAGTCTAAACAGTCCAGAAAACAGCTGCAGGCCAGAAACCCTGAGGTTTTATTCTCTGAGTCCTGGTTGTCACCATGACCCCGCAATGTCCATCTTTCAGGATGAGTTATAAAATTACTATTCATCAGAATTAAATTAAATTTGCGTTACTGTGAGCCAGATGAGTCAGTCAACGAATCCTGTATTTGTATCCTAAAATGTAATGAACCAAACTGTGGCTCTGTGAGCCGATGGAGAATTACTGAAAATGAGAGAAGGGTACCGATTGAGCAATGTAGAACAAGACATTATGTTTCAACTAAGGTTGCCCACACAGAGTATAGAGTAGTAACATGATGATATTAACAATATGATTCCCTGTCTGCACAGTCCCATTCTAGTTTCCAATAGCCCTTATGCTGCTCTCAAAATAGGATAAAAATAAACAAGGAATGTCATTCTAATGCTAGGAAAAGAAGGTCTACATGGGAATTTATAGTGGTAGACTTCTAGTAATATAAATTCACACTTAAGTATAACCCATATAATTGTTTCAATGAAATTTCCAGTATGAAAAGACTCTGCTAGACAGATTCAGTCTCAGTATTAAACACTCTGATTTATGCAATCTGTTTCCAGTGCAACTACTTTTTCTTGTTTTAATAACATAGTGTACAGTTCACACACACTAGCCTGCTCCCAACAAGTAATGCTGTACCATGTCCCCAGACATATTTTGGGGGGGGATATAGCTATATGAGTTACTAATAATGGAAAAAGTGTTAAAGTATTTTAGGGAAAATGGGCTAAGGAAAAGGTGTAACAGCAGGGTAAGTACAGCTGCCTTCCCCTTTCTCTGGAATTGATGCTGATTTAAGCAGTAAAATGCACAGGAGAGTTCAGCAGTTTCTATCTGGCTTCTTTTAAAACACTGTAGGGAATACTGTTTAGTCCTTCTAATTGCTATAATTAATTTATTAAGTTGTTGCAAAACCTTTTTACTGCCTCTTTGATTTGAGAAAGCTCCTCAAAGAAATTCTTGCAATAAAAATCTCTTACATGGGAATCTCCCTAAGATTCTCTGTCATGAATACAAAGCAAGGAATTGACTTTTCTTCTATGGATTATTTTCCATGTGCTACTACTACTGATATGAAAATGCTCTGTGTCTGGAAATACAGAGCAGCCGCTTAAAGAATATTTACTTCTTACGCTAAAGGAAAAGCAGCCTGTACTTTTTCCCTTTTCTTGTGGCTGCATCTAAGGGCAACTGTGTTTTGTGAATTCGTATCATTCGAGGGACTGTTTTACATAATGCAATGGCAGGACCAGAACCAAAGTCTAGGAAATTCACTCTGTACAGTCCATGCTCTAGTGCATCCTTTTTGGGGTTAACAGCACAGACAACATTTAGTCAACGTTTATGACCAGAATGCTTTCAAGCTCTTCTGTTCTCACTATATATGCTCAGTCCTTTCTAGTACCATGAATTTGGAAGACTGTAACTTTAATCCTACCCTAGAGAACGTATTATATATACACTTTTCCTTCTTTCCTCTGGCCACCAGACTTAATGGTAATGATTCATGTACACAGAGCCACTAACAGTTTCACAAAAATAGCATCCATGTCATAAATTATCTTTTTGTAGGGCCACGGTGATATTAAGACAGTAATTTCCTGAGCCTACCTAGGAAATCATTCTCATTCTTGAAGTATAAGTTTCCTTCTTTTTCTTACCTTATGCTTTCTGAACTTTGAATAACCTTCTAGTAGTACCTATACATCTTTTCATCTATATGATATACTGTCACATCCTCTCAGATATATAGTTATTTAGTCTCATTTGTTTCCAGGTGTGGTTGTATTGTCTACAGTGGATCTCAATGTTTTGTTTCAAGCTATGCACTAACGATAGCAAAAATATTATGAAGGGCTGTTGAAGAAGTCATCTAGATTTATTTATAATCCATTATCACAGTAGCAAATCTTAACCTTAGCAGCTGTGGAAAGAATAAACTCTTTTCATATAGTCTTGATTCCATTTTAATTTATATTGGTATAAATTGGGGAAATTGCACAGACTGGAATTATGGTGTGTGAAATCAAGGAATTTCATATTAAAATAAAGCTCATTATAGCAGTTCATACAACTAAGCATCTTTCTGCGTTAAATGGATAGATTGAAGTGGGAAGAACTTAGAAGTAAGAATGACAAACCAATAAGGGATTCTTATACTCTTCAGTAAAATCTAGTAAAACTAAATTTGAATTTCCATAAAACTCCATCATCAAAAATGCCTTTGGATATACAACATTAAAAATGCCATTTGAACATGCTGATAAAACAGGTATGGTATTAGTGAAGCTACTCAAGACAAAAGATGTCAGAAAGACAATTCCTTTCCTGCAGGATGAAAATAATGAGCTCATAAATATATCTTAGAGGTAGCCAGTGCTTTAGAAGTGATGAGCATAAATTGTACTCGCAGGAGAGTTCAGACAGACAAGAAGCTACGTACTCTTTTCTAGGTAAAATTGAAATGCCATGAATCACTGAGTTGTAGAGAGAAATTATTGAGTCTTCTCTTCTTCCTGAAGAATTAACAAGACAAACAGCAAAGTACCCAAGCCTAGCCAAACTTAAAATCATTTTTCCATTTGCTGGCTTTGTAGTTGTTCTTGTTATGGAAGGAGGTTGGTTTGCCATTCAGAGCTATTATTCTATCTGTTCATGTTATTTTTAAAGATAGAGCTCCCTTCATAAAACCAGAATCCATAGAATTTATATTAAAGCATACGACTCTTCAAGCAATATCAGTAACACTCAGAGCTACTGCTCCTAATTTCCTCTCACACAGAGATTTGCTACCAGATCATAATTTCTGGAACCAAAACTTTGAGTTTGGCCATTTAATTTATCTGTGCTAAATATACTACAGTCTCAGAAAACCACATTTTATTTCCTATCTGAAACTAGAAAATTGAACTTTGTGGAAATTTTTCCCTAGATGTAGGCTACAAAGTGCCAAAAGAGTGATCCTCTGAGTCCTGCTACAGCTATCCATTCCATCCTTTGGTAGCAGATTTTATTAAGGGTCATAAACACATAGAGCATACATACACATATGTACACATCTGTATAGTTTTCATACACACACAAAGCACTCAGCTGCCAAACATCAAATGTGCCACAGAACATGGCCAAAAATTACAAGGAGGTAAAGAACACAAAGTCATTAATGAAACACATTTGTAAGACTTGGAGAAGAATTCCCATATGATATACCTTAGTCTTCTCATAGGTTTATTGTCAGAAGTATTTTTTACGATATAAAAATATTTCTATAACATAGGCGAGATCAAAGTTGTGTAGGATCAAAGTAACTCTGAAACAGACTTGAAGCATCCCTTGACAGGAAATACTTAAAAGGTCTTTCTTAACCTCCTCATGCCTCAAGATTTGTTAGGTTTTTATTTTACTTTTATATTACTTACCAGAAAAAGGATGAATTTTAGTAGCAGATATGGTTCTTCTTGCATGTCTGGAACCCACTCTTCTTAGAACAGTAGAAACTGATGATGCAACTCTGTGTTTACAATCTGTTTTAAAAAAAATATGTTATCCTCAGCTATAGAATTACATACAGCACTGATTAGAAGAAAAGCTGCTAAATCCCTTATTCTTAAACTGTTGAACACCCTTCATGAAGAAACAGCAAGGTTTTGAAATAAGGTGATGAGGAAAACCAAGGGCCAGATGTTTTATATTTTCCTGAATTAAATTTTCTGTAAATTCCATTTAGGTTTGGCCCTTTCAAATTATTCCTTCCTTTTTCTGTATTGTGTGCCTTGAACAAATTCTGGAAGATTACTGAAAAAGTACATGTTCCAGTACTATGCTAGGAAGCTGACAGATTCTTTGCAATGGTGGGGTGTTCATCTTTGAAAGCACAGTCTGAGAGCAAGCTCTACACCACTCAGAGAAAGGAAGAGCTGGGTTGAAAACCTCTGACTGTTCCTCAGCACCCAGTTTATAATCTCCTCTATCTTTCCATCCTTCTGCCAGTCTCTAATACTGGGCTCTTGATGGCGTTACTGCAGATGATTGTGCAGCTGCTGTGGTTAAGCCTGTTCCACAACGACTGCAGTTCAGGGCTCAGCCAGCTTCTGATGACAGGCTCGCTCCAATTCTACATAACAAAATTGATTTTTATCTTTTTATTTTGAGAACACTAGAAAACTTCATCTTTAAGAAATTCATTAAATCAGTAGCATTATTTAGGTCATGATTTTTTAATGAATAACCAGTGAATATCTAATGTGCTGAAGCCCTAAGCATGCACTGTAACAGTTAATGTCAAAGGAAGCTCTGGAAGTGGCTGTAAGACAAGAGTGGAAGGGAAAAGGCAAAAGGACTCATTTCTAATTTAGGTCCTTTGTCATGGATTGGTTTCAAGCTCCACCAAGTTTATTTGGATATTTCATTTTAAGCACTCATGGAAATAACTTAATTAATGTTTCAAAGAGTCTCAGAGTCTGCCTAGCAGAACATCTTGAAAAGTCTCAAGAGGAAATGAATAATTCCATATTTCTTAATAGCTTTCGGTGGTGCTCAGAAATTATGAGAAAATCTACTAACTGAATTATGACTGGAAAAATTCTTAGCAGCTGTTTTAGTCACATAGTAATATTCTGCTGCAATCTTTAGACACCACTGAAAAAAGCAGTATGTAGACTTGCAATTAAATATGGCGTCATAATATATACAAATAAGGAATATAATCCTTAAATCTAATTTTTATGTACTTGTCTTTTTATCAGTAACATGCTGATGTTATTTATAATGTTATATGTTATAAATTTAATTAATAAAACCACTATTCCTCTATTAATGGAAAATGTATTCTAAAAGCAAATCAGTAATTAGAAGCCTCCAAAGGGCATCTTTTCCTCCCTGCTTGTGCCCATGACAGTTCTGAAAAACCTGCATTTAATGGAAATCTGATGTTTAAGAATGAAGGCAGTAAATCATTAATCATCACTACTAATAGTTCTGCATTAGAAATGGGATGTTATGACTCAAAGCATAGAAAATCATACTCATGATATTTGTAGGTAGCTTTCAAATTGCAAATAAAAGTCCTTCAAATTAGAGCACTTAATACCCTACTTATATATAAAAAGCCTTACTTATAATAGCCTACTTATATGAATAAAATAGGCCTCAAAATTTGGTTCTAGCAATAAGTAAAAGATCATGTATTTTAAGCAAGATAAAAGAGTTTCTTTAATCATTTGGAGAGGGGCGCAGATTTGCCATTTGAAGCAATTATTTTGCTTATTCATTAAAAATATATGCATAAAATATTTACATTATGCCAAAAAATCACAGAAACATTTTGTGTGTGGGTACTCTTCTTCCTTCAGTTATGATTAAAGCTAGACTCCTATTGCTCTTTCATTACAAAACTGCCTGTGGATACAGTAGGGATGATCAGAGGAATGGATATGGCTTATCAATTGTTTATTACCCCTGTGACCAAGGTCTCCATTCAGCAGCTCTGGACTACAAGGCGAACGGACGTCTGCCTGGTAATAGTGGCTAAATGCTGGTTGTCCAGAGACATTCTGCCTACTCAGGGCTGACACAGGCAGAAGGTCTCAGGAAATTGCAGTGAAAAGCATCTAAGAGCAATTATCTCGGGTAACAGGTGAAGTAACACTCTTTCCACACTGATGAAAGAGAGTGTGCTCCCTGTACCACCTACCTCTGACTTGGGATGAAAAAAAAGGACCAGCAGCTGACAAGCAGTCAATTTTCTGCATTCTTTTTGTGCAGAGAACTTCACCTTGATTGCTCAATAGTCTCAAGCTCAGGGTACTCCTACACTTTTATTCTTGCTTTCTTCACTGTATATTGCTAGAAGAAATACTGTAAATCTGACTTCAGCCTATATCCCAAGTGAATTGCATAGCAAGAGCCTGTCTTGGTTGGTGAAGGCATTCTGTAGAAACAATTGTTTCAGTCTCTGAATCAAGGACAAGTTCTTTCATAGCAAAGTTTTATTCACTTGGAATAGTCAGTAGTGCCGACTCAGAAATCACAGCAATATTTTCTTTGGTGGAATAACAGCAAATAGAAGAAATGGTATCCAGTCTTAATTCAGCTCTGGGGTTAAGGAGGCACAGCTTGGTTGACCTGTATGGGATTACACCACCACTGAATTTAGATAACCAGTTCTTAGGGCAGAGACATGAGTGCATATCTCCTCATATCTATCCTGTAATTTTTCTTGACCATGACCTAGATGAATCATCTTCAGTAATGAAAGGGTATTTCACTCTGCTTACATTGGTCACTGGCATTTCTGCTTAAGACCCTCAATAAGGTTCAACTATAATTGTTTTATCTACTGGAATCAGTCTGAAAACAGAAGTTCATATCACTACGGATCAAAGGCCACCAAGCATCTGTCAAAAAACCTGTATTTCATTCACCATCAACAAGCTTGGATTTGCATCCACAATTCAGAGGTGAGAGGTGATAGTATCAGTCATTGGAGTATTTCAGTCCCTCTATAAGAACCTTTTACGCTATTACAATTAAAATACTGATGTCTGAACCACATTAATAATCAACAGCTTTGTTATTGTCAATAAATACATTTTTCATTGCATAGAAATTTAAATTCATGCAGATTATCTTTTTGTTACTTACAGTTTTGTTCATTTTCTTGAACTATTTTGTAGATGACGATTGAAATAGTAAACACAAAAACTACTGGAATCATAGTGAGCCAGATGATCTTTGTCATACACATTGGATCTGTCCATAAAATGTAGAAGAGAGAAAATGAAACAGGAAATCATTGGCAGAGAAAAACAGAACATTCGATCGTGGTATGTTTTTTGACCATGCCTATCCCCAGAGAAAAAAAAAATTAAAACAAATTATGAGATTATTCCTTTTTCTTTCAGCTTTCTTTGTTGTTTGAAATTAAGTTTCCTGTCCATAATCTAGCTTCATTTTCACCTGTATCTACCTCTCCATGTCTGAAATAGTTATATGTAGCTAAGTGAATTAAAACATTTCCTATTTGTATAAACTGCTATATGCAACTCAGCCAGGAAGAAAATGCTTCAAAGATCAACATTTATATTTGAGGCAGAACAAGGGTAATATATATCCCCTCTTTATTTGGATGGAGCACAGAAGGAATTGGTTCACCGTCCAACACTGGCCTGTACTGGCATTCTCAACCTCCTGGTCCATCTTCATATACAGGAGAAGGTAAGATTCTACATACAGAAATTTTCTTATCAAAAAGTGAGGAAATGTCACCAACTCTGGGGATTTTTTTTAACTAGTTTTTCTAGCTTGGGGGAGAATCAGCATGGGACTGCACGTAGGAGGTCGGCTGCTCTTTTGGACAACAGTTGCAGCAGAAATGCACCCACATTCCACAGGGAATTAGTTCAGCAACTAGTACAAGTCAGGACTATATACCACAGAGAAAGGATGTGGAGAACTTTAATCCCCAGTTGCTCAAAAGACCTTTCAAACTTCTTTGGCAGCTGCATGTTAATGCATAACTTAGCATTGTCAAACAACTATTTAAAAAAACCCCATGTTACTATTACTCATATAAAATTAAATTACAGACTATAGCCAAATTACTGTTTTAATTTCCTTGACTTAGAATAGTATAATTAGACCTACATCAACTTCCTTTGTGTATCTTCTCCACTGAGAAGAAGTCATGAGGTAACTGCCAATAACCCCATGGCTCTTTGAGGTAAGAACAGCTCTTCCCTCCTAATTCAGAACTAAAAATATCTTTTATACAGTCATTTAGGCTCCTTTCAAACAGAGTACTCTACCCCATCTTGTAGTGACATGTAATGACTTGTATATCAACCTGGTTTAGTAAAAGCCCAGAGCACCTCTTTACCTTTGTTTTGAAGTAAATAGAAAAAAGATGCATTGTTAATTTTTATTGTTAATTTGAGATTACTTCCCAGGTAAATCACCATCAGCAAAGGGTGGTTAGCTTTGACACAAGCAGGTTACAAACTATACTCCTTCCATAGCTAGACCTACTTATTTTAAAAAAACCCTAAGCTGCCCTCTCTTCTCTAAGATTTTACCTGGACTTATTTTAGGCTTAGGCAACTCCAAAACATGTTGTTTTTTCCAGCAAAGGTACAGCATAAAATGCGTTTGCCATACAAAACTAAATGAATGTAATAATTCAGCAATTCCCAGATGGCAAATGTTGCATATAGACAGGCTGGAAGCCCTGACTGTGGTCAGGCAATCAGCCAAAAAACTCCTGCAGCACAAAGGGAAATTTAAAAAGCTGACAGGCTGTCCTCTGGGAAAACTAATCCTAGTTCAGCTGAAGATTTCTCTTTTAAGTGTACTGTAAAAAGGCTGTATACTAGGATATTGCAGTACGACAGTAAGAAAAGTCAAACCTGTCTCCTGGTTCTTCTGCCACTGAAGTTAACAGGAATTTTTTAATTTACCTCCAAGACAACAGGGTTATGCCACTGTCAAGGAGGGGAGAAGAAAAAATGTAATTCCAGGTTTTGTCATACATGCAATTTGTGAGTCTGTCACCGCTTAGCAAAAAAAATGTACAGACACTTACTTTGCTGTGTTGCTTCTAGGAAAAAAAAAAAAAAAGAAAACAAACCCAGCTAAACCTGCTTTAAATCTCTAAAAAACCTGTCAGTTACCTACTAAAGATGATCTTTTACTAAGGGATGATCAAAATCGTATTTTCTTCTTGCTTACATACTTTCAAATGGCTGCTGAAAGCAGAGAACTACCTACTGAAGATTTTTTGCAAGATTTATATTGTTTCTGGTTTGATTTCCATTCTGACTCTCCTTTGTAACTTACATTCCATGGAAGACTTCAGATGCAGTGAAATATTCATGCAGTCATTTTGGTCTTCCATCATTGCCATTAGACAGGAATGATTTAGGTATTCTTCGGCATTTCTTCCTCTGACTATAGAACTGTTGATGTGGATTTCCAGGAGGTAGTGAGTATTATGGTCTACTTCTTTCTTGGAAACCGTAGTGAAATTAAAATATTTATAAAAGTAAATAACATCTTCCCTTTTCACTTCAAGTGAGCCTTTTGCTTTTGGAAATAAAAATTAAAACAAAAGTGTTACATAACATGGTAAACAAAGAGACAACTCTCAGAAAGAACAACAAAATAAATTCTCTCATTTGCAAAAACATACAGTAGGATTTTACGTTATTGACTATGATAAAATGGACAAAAAGATAGCATGTAAAGTTATTCTGATCAAATCTGAAGAGTACTGATTATCTATACAAAATATATTTCCCCTGCAAATTATAGCCCCTTTTTTGCTTTACTACCAGCTTCAGAGCTTTTCAGTTTTTTGTTGTTTTGTTCTCTGTTGTCAAAGGTAACAGAGAAAAATCAGGCTATGAAAAATTTAAAAAACAAATAAAAGCCATGTGATGGTACAGATTTGAAGTGTACATCTAGTCTATCTGCTATCAGTTGCAGAAGGTCCTTGTTTCACTTCAAACACATAAGCTGTGAGACTTGCACAACGTTAGCAAGAAACATAGCTGGGTGAGACATTGTCAAAAGTGTTAAGAGTTGTATAGGTATAACTGAAAACAGAGTTTATCCACATTTGTTTTGTTTTGTTATTTTCCATACTTGTTAAGACAGCTATGTTGTAAGAAGAAAATTATGCAGTTGGAAAAGAACTGCATTTCTTATATTCAGGATTTGGCCTGTTGCCCCTGTTGCTGACAATGTTAGGAAAACAAAATTCAGGGGCACCCTCTTCCCCCAAGCTTTCCAGATAACTTTTCAAGTGTATGTGGCACAGAAGGAATACGCTGCTATTGCTCCAAAAAGATGTGGGTGTTGCTGAACACTTCTCTGTACTGCTGTGCCAATCCTTATTCAGTGCTGCCTTCTATGAAACATGCAATGTCATTTCTGATACTACACAGTTGTGGATATCATAGACTACAAGCACAAAAATGGTTATTTCTTGTATAGCTCCCATCTGAATAGTTACCATCTTTGAATTAGTTTTTCAGATACTGACTCACAACCTATCTTCATATAATATCATCAATCTGCAGGTAGAGTTCCGCAATGACATTTAAAAGCAAATTCAGCATGAAAACTGATCAGAAACTACAACTCCTTAAAAATAAATATTTCAGACAATTTATCAAGAATAAAAGAATAAATATGGGGATATAAGAGTGTTCATAAAAGCCAGATGGCAGAGGTCAAACTTGCAACAGAAATATTCCAGAGGTTTCTGGATAAGGCACTCTTTTCTTGCAGCACCCTCCTTCCAGACCAATACAAAGCCCATAAAGATAATCACACACACACACATGATTTATACAAGATCCTCAAAGAAAATAAATCATTATTTTGCCCTTGATGTTTCACTGACAGCCAGAAATGAATGCCATTGAGAATCTGACATAAAACCTACATTTTCTAGCCATGCAAAGACAAGCTAAAAAAAAACATTGTTTGTAGATTTACAAAGACTGTAGAGAACCAGCAGCATACTATAATTTTCTTTTAACTACAAAATAAAAACATGCCTTTCATGTTGCAATTAACTACTTCAAAATGAAGTATTTCTGCTTCCCCTACTTACTTTTTTTATCTACCGACCATGATCCTTGATGATCAATGTTCACATCTCTCCTGTATTCACACTCTGTGTATTTAGTATGGGATTGTTGTTCCTTCCTGGAGGGCAGGCAAATACATGGAATATTTTGGAAACTAGAATGATTTAAAACGACCTTCAGTAAAATAGTCTGGTTTTCTCTGCTTTGTTGCACTGATCTTTTGCAAGAATTGTTAAAAGTACAAAGTGGAAAAGTGATGTTATTTGATGAACAGGTATCCATGCATGACACAATTACAGTGTTATCTGTAAAAAAAAAAAAAAAGAGTACTATATTAGCAAGACAGTCATATAGGAAATGTGGACAAATACATGCATGGAAGCATCATGTAACAGATCCTTTAACCATATTACAGTGAAATGCACTTTCTTTCTTGAGGGCTATGGCAGCGTATTGAATGCATCAACGAGTGAGACAAAGCAAGCACAGACTCTTCCCACAACCCAGGTGCTGGATTTCATTGCTGAATTGTATGGAAGCTCTTGTAATACTAACTTGAATTTGTGATGGTATCTAGTCACATTCCTGTTTCAAAGCTGGTCCAATTTGATTGCACTTAAAGATAAAAGCACTCATGTTTGGAGGGGGAACTTAGCCCTGGAACTGTGCAGTTGCAATGCACCAGTGCAATTATGTTTTAAAAAAGTTATAATCATAATGAAAACATTAATTCCAATGATGACATTCTTTCCTGGGCTGCATGAGGAGAAATGTGACCATTAGGCTTAGGGAGGTGATTCTCCCCCTTTGCTCTGCTCTGGTGAGACCCCATCTGTGTCCAGCTCTGGAGCCCCCAACATAAGAAGGACATGGACCTGCTCAAGTGGGTCCAGAGAAGGCCACAAAGATAATTGGGTACTGGAGCACCTCCCTTGTGAGGACAGGCTGAGAGAGTTGGGGTTGTTCAGCCTGGAGAAGAGAAGGCTCTGGGGAGACCTTATAGAGGCCTTCCAGTACTTAAAGGGGGCTACAGGAAAGATGGGGAGGGACTCTTCATCAGGGAGGGTAGTGATAGAACAAGGGGTAACAGTTTTAAACTGAAAGAGGGTTGATTTAGGTTAGATATAAGGCAGAAATTCTTTCCTGTGAGGGTGGTGAGCCAGTGGCACAGGTTGCCCAGAGCAGCTGTGGCTGCCCCCTCCCTGGCAGGGTTCCAGGCCAGGCTGGACGGGGCTTTGAGCAACCTGGTCTGGTGGAAGGTGTCCCTGCCCATGGCAGGGGGTTGGAGCTGGATGGTCTTTAAGGTTCCCTCCAACCCAAACCATTCTGTGATTCTATGACATTGAAACCACACAGTGAAAATACACAGAAACGCTGCTGAATCCTCCAACCACACCCTTCACATTCTCTTATAGTCAGTCAACAAACACGAATCTTAATTATGACCATTAGTTTGGTATTCATAGTCAAATTTCAGTATCAAATTACTGTACCTAGAGTACATTAATGCTGTTCTGGCAAGTAGTAAAAAACACATAGAATTAATTATTAATGAGTGTTATTTTAGCTGTCTTCCACATTAAAGTAGGGCTTTATTGTACAAGTCATGCATTTTTACTTGAGTTAAATTTGAACTGTTTTTTCAATATGAAAAAAAATTAAGAATAAAAGACTTCTGAGATCATGATATGAAATATGTATTTATGAATACAAATAACCACTTCCCAGAGTTTATACAGCACTAGCCTACAGTTTTGTAGCTGAGCTTCCAATTCTAGTAGTACCCTTGCATCGCTGTGAAGAGAAAATTTTGCGTCTAACTGCCATTATGAGTAATAGGAGTAATATGTTCATAAATCCTTATGTATAGAGGGAAAAACATAGCCTTTAATTGCTCCAGTGTTCAGCTGCAATCTGACAGCTTCAACAGGCCACCTGTGCTCACATAGCAGCAAGCTGACCTCAGAAACGGTTCAGTGAAGGATTTCAGACACCATACAGAAATAAAATCCAAAATTCAATGCCAAAGTCAATTATCGTCACTTTACTAACACTACATCAGTGAGTCATAAACTCCTTATAAAACCTAATAAATTGAAATGTAAAATACGCTTCCTGTGTAGGTAAGAAAATAATTAATTTTAATACAAAAAGGAAAAATGTCAGACAAAATTTAGGGCTTGATCTTTCCTTGAGGCAAGGCAAAACATTTTCCTTGAAATGCTTACAATCTGACCCACGCAGCCTGTAGCGGAACAGGCTCTCGAGGTCAAATTCTTCCAGTGGAAGGAGGCGTTTTATGCAGAGCTTCTCCGTGGAGGTGAGCCAGGAATGGAAAATGAATGCTCACTCTGCTCTCATGGCAAGGCGTGCGTGCATCTGGGCAACCAGTATAAAAACCACTGCTACAGCTTTCAAGGTCAACTAATGCTAATTCCCTACCACAGCCCTTTCACCAAGAAATTTCTACGCAGACTTGGGAATCCGCTGACTGTGCTGTGCAGCACTCTACGTACAGCACTGTGAAGTCCATTTTGAACTTCACACACAGCTAAATAGGCTCCAGAGCTGCCTGTGAGCCATGTTGTGGATATGTAAAAGGCATGTTACCTGAGTAGAAAAAGTTTGAATGCTGTCCTGTTAGGGGGGGTGGTTATCATCCTCTTGAAAGATCTCTGCTGAGAAAGCCATTCAAATTATAACCTAGCATCAGGAAACTTTATTTTCTTCCAACCCACAGGAGTGTGGACTTTCTAGGGAGGGGTATAGATTGTCAAACACTGTAAGAAGGGCTGCAAAAAGACTAGACTTTCCCCAGGGATTACATGGCAGACAGAGCGCTGTACCCACAAGAGGCTTGTCCCTTTACTGCAGGATGGGGAAGCACCTTCCCAAATGGAAACATCACTAGGAATGTGGAAAGGGTTTTGTGAAATCTGAACACAGACAGCCTGAAGAGGTAAGAGGATCACTGAGATGAAACCGTGCAAAGCGTCTCTAGGAAACTGCTGTATATTCAAAGATCTGTAACCCACATGCTTCATGTCTGGAAGTTCTGTGATTATAAAATTCCCTTATTAAGCCTCTATTTGCAGAGTGTTTTTCCACATAAAATCCAATCCCATTAAAATGAAATTATTCACTCTCTGATGTTTGACAGTAAGGTCAATGTTTTCTTCTGGTAATAGCATGTCATTGTTTATTTGCATAGTCTGTGCTAGCAGATACTTTGATTACTTCTGCACAGAGGTAAAACATTAATTATTCCAACATCTTAAACTGACTCATCAATTTTATGGTATTTGAAACTTGTCTCACCTTACTAAGTTTGTTCATTTATAAACTATGAAAATTTATAGATTATATTCTAGTTATTGTCATATTTAATCTTTGTGGTTAATGAAAACAGAAATGTAAATACAAGTAACCTAATCTTTTTTTTTTTTTTTTTTTTTTCTGGAAAATTATGCTTCATAAGTAATTTATTTCATGATGCCTAGCAATACACACCATTTGTCAAATGGATGCTTTTTTATGATAACATTTATCTATTCAAAAGATTACTTAGGAATGGATGTGACAAAACTGTTTTAATATTAATTTATTTATGGATTTTTAAGAGACCACTGAATGCATAACTTCCACACATATATTTTGCATTCATCCTAAATCCAGTATCAGCCTTCAGGATTACCAAGAGGTACTTGGCATTTATATTAAAAGATTTGCTTCACGCAGTTACACCTATTCCACTTTAATTTTTTCAGGTTGCCACTGCATATCTCTTTCACAGACAGTATTTCATACCAGATAGTAATTGTACAAAGTTTTACAGGCATTTAAGTATAGAAACTTTTTAAAAAAATCAGTTTTCAGACATGAGTACCTGCTATAGAAGAACCATATGTATTTTAACTATTCTCTTCATGATGAAGATAGTAAAAGTACAGTTGCATGGAAAGTTACCAAAAAAATTGCAGTGTACGTAAATGAAAGACAAACTCCTTTTAAATTACTGCATATAATTAACTCTGTTGGTTAAAAATCTAACAAAAAAATCTATATGCTTTGCAAAGTCCATATGAGTATAGCATCCTAACCATCGCTTTTAAGAAAGTATGTGCCAACTTTTCAATTGCAACCAGACTGTAGGATAAATGAAAGGCTATTTTAAAAGCTGATCACTCACCTTCATGGACTTTGAAAAATTCAGGTAAACATAAAATAAACATAGTAATTATACCAAGTACTAATCTGAAGAATTCTGATTTTCTCAAAAGCAAGCACATGTCACCGAAGCACTCCCATCTAGCATAGTGGTGGTAACTTCCGTTGGTTTAGGTTTTAACTTAGTGCAGACCTTATGCAAAATAACGCCTATTCATTTCCTTTCTCTAATATTACTTTCCTTTTTGCTCCTCGTTACGTTAAGTTGTAGAGAGCCAAGTTCTGTTCTTACATTGGCATAGATGACGATGATTCAAATGAATACTCTGAAGATAGAACTCATATACCATGATGAAAATAAGAGAAAAGTCATGCATAGAAACAATTTATTAATTTGGGTAGTTTTGTTTCAGGAACATCACCCCCTAATGGCCATGTTCATATACCTTCTAAACAGTAAATGAATCATCTTTGTGAAGGAATTTTGTTCTCATTTGGCCAAGCAGATTTTTAAAAAAATGAGTCAGATCTTGCTTATAAAAATGAGTCAGAAACATATGACTCAGATATGGAAATTTTATTGTTTTATTTATATACATATGCGTTGAGCCCGGGGGAAGATAATTTTATGTGATAGAGAACCTTTAAGACTTTAATAGACTACTAACTTGATCGTTACAACTTAAAATTTCTGATCTGGCAAATAAGTGATGTACTAAGTACGATGACACTGAGTATGAGATACTCATATTATCATTGCTTCTCTATTCTTAAAAGACAACAGAAGTGTTTCCAATCTGTAGATTGTCTTCAGTGTGTATCCTTACTATCCTTTACACCACAAAAATACTGGATAAAGCCATTACTATTCCTATACATTGTAGTCACAATCTTTCAGCTAAACTTTCCAGTTTAAAAAGTGAAATCTTTCATTCCGACAGCCGCCATGATACTCCATAAATCCTTCTTACAGATGAGACTGCAAAGAACATTTCTGAAAAGTTCTGAATAAAAGTACTCTGAATAATGCATATATAAACCCAAATAATTTGACTTAGAGTATATACAGTATGAAGGATTTAATTCAGAAAGCTCTCTTCTGATATTTTTCCCACAACCCATTAAATACTGAGTACTACCAAAATGAAGCAATGCTGTTGAAGTCAAAATAAGAAATGTCCTACAAACCTGAAAAGCCCTTCTGGTCATCTAGTTATCTCAGATGGTGAGTAAGCCAGGTAGAAGCAAATACAGTATTCACTCTATAAAAAGAGTCTTAATGGAGCTGTGGTGGATACAAATTCGTTAATATGATATTTTAAATGTAGTACTTTTATGCAATGAATGCAACGAAACCAAAGCGAAATGAAATGATTTTTTTGACAGTTTGGTGCAACAGAAGTAATAAGGATACAAAAAAGTATAGGTATGAATTTAAAAAGCAAAATACACCCTTTGCACAATTTATATTTGTGATGTTAGCAAAGTAGCTCTACTTTGTGACAGGCTGAATTGCCCCTTAAGTATCTGGCATATCACTTATTTACCTCTTCCTGTTTTCAAGGTTGCCTGGTGTTCATCCATCCTTTCTGCCCGGAAGGAATGGAGAAAATACAGGAGGACTCTGTCAAGTCACATGTGTATCTAACCCTTTCTGATACGTTCAGACGTTCGTTGTTGTTGGTAGAGCCCAAGGTCAGCAGAGAACTTGCCCTGCAGGATCACACCCAAGTTCAGCCTGATACAGTAACAACCTGTGGAACGCATTGTGTTTCAGATTCTATAGAAGAAGGTTTCCAAAGACACTGCAGTAAGCAGATGGGGAATATCTATTTTAGGGCTATGGTGAAGGCATGTTTTAGTTTAGTTTCTGAGTTCAGGAGGTCCATGTATGATCTGTCCACACGCTCCCAAAGGGACACCCCAAGCTTTGGACACTATTACCCTGAGGCAGTTTGCACACGTGTGAACTACGTGAATCACATACACGTGTGTGGCCTGACCCGCCAGCTGACCTGAAAAACATGAGTTTTCCTTCTTGGTGACATGTTTCCCTCCACCTAGCTAATAAGTTTTACACTGCTGGAACAATTAGTACCTTTGAAAACCCTATCCTTCAGTCAAATTTAGTTAAAATTGGCTGAATCGTTTAAAGTCAGCTAGGATGAGAACTGGCAAAGTACACAGCCACATAGGCCACATTCCCTTGCAGAATTAGGCAAAAAAAGCACTATATACCTCATTACTGCATGAAACTCATACTGCCACACCTCAGCAATGATCTCGCACGCCCTTAAATCAGTTTTATCAGTCGGAGGCATAGCTGACTGTCACACAGTCTATTAATTTGGAAAATTATTCTACCTTTGGATGGCAGGGGTCACTGGTAAGGTGTTGTATAACAAGACTGGCAAAGGCTGGAGTGTGTTTGTTAGCGGTCGCAATCGTGAATAGAACTTATCTACACACAGCAGATAAGCAGGCACTTCTTCATTCCAGCGCTGGGGAACACGGGGGATAACTCCGCCAAAGACGTGTTCGTCGATAGGTACAAAGCACAACATATTTATACACTTTTTCAGCAGAGTCATAGTTACATAAGATCAATAAATTCATAACATTTAAGTTGACCTTTATAATGATTGGCTTTCAGTTACCTCACCTTACCTATATTCCTATTTTACAGAAATCATTGGTCATCTTTACTGACTGATTTAAATAGGATGGGGGGAGGGCAATGATTAGCATATTCATGTTATTTCCTGGAAATTATTAGCATATGCAAATATCCCTAACGCATGCGTGGTTATACTGGATGGGGGTCTCTGGTGGTCGTCGATAGTCTTCATCACTCTGTCAGCTGATTGAACTCCACCCCTGCGCATGCTCACTCCACCTTTGGTTAATGCTCACCTCTCCCTTGGCCGATCTTCCCAACCAAACCAGTTTTCCTCTGGTACCTATTGTTTCAAGTCAAGATCCATAACCAGTACCCACTGTGTTAATTCAGAGTCCGTAACGATTGTTATAGTGTTCAAGGCACACAGCATACTAGTTGCTTAATCCTAAGGGCCTCAGTGTACTTTACATTCTCATAGCTACTGTAGCTTCATGTTAAGTCAAAATCATACTTTTAAACTAAAATCAAAATAATATTCTAGGATCCCAACTGTTTTATTAAGGTAACTGCAACATGTTCGCCCGTCAGATGGTGAGTACGGGCTGCCTCAGCACCACGCGGTGCCAGGGTCCCGCGAGGGGGTTAGCAGTGCACGCGGGGGGGGGGTCCCTGCAGATGTATTTCGCTGAAATGGGGGAGCGGGAAGTTGTGGAAACGCTTAGCTCTGTGGTTTTAGAGGACCGGCGAGGGTACCCAGGAACAGGATGAGACCTCCGGTAAGGTTAATGACGAGAAACGCCCCAAAAGGGAGACGCTGCCCGGCCGGGGAGGAGGCGGCGCGCGGCGCCTCAGCCTGAGCGGAGCGGCCACGGCCCGGCCCCGCCCCGCCCCGCCGCACGCGGCCACGCGCAGCCCCTGCCCGCGGGGCGAGCGGAAGCCGGCGGTTGGCTGGCGGCGGCGCGCGCCTCCCGCCCCGGGAGCAGGAGGAGGAGCACGGCGGCTCGGCGGGAGGCGGGGAGACACGCCCCCTCGTCCCCCGGCCCCGCCCCGCCCCCCGCGTGCGCGGCCGGCCCTGGGGCCGCAGCCGCCCGAGCGCGCAGGGGAGGGGCCGGGAGCGGGGCCCGCGGGGACCCGTTAGCGCCGGGGAGGGACCGCCCGGTGGCCGCGGCCTCCCCCCGGCGGAGCGGGAGCGCTGGCTGCTGCCGGGGCGGAGCGGGAGGGGCGGGAAGGGAAGGGGAAGGGGGGTGCCAGGGCCTCCCTTGCGATTTTTTTTTTTTTTTTTTTTTTTTTTTCTTCTTTCCCCGCCCCCTCCCAACCTCGCCCCCCTTCCCGGACCTTGAGAGGTGAGGAGGGCGGTCGGGGCTCGGTAGCGAGCGGAGGGGGTCTGGGGCAGCCGGGAGGGGGAGGAGAAAGCCAGGAGGAGGAGGAGGAGGAGGAGGAGGAAGGAGGGCGAGGGGCAGGGGCAGGCTCCCTCCCTCCCTCCCTCCCTCCCCCCCCCCCCTCCGCCGGGCGCTCGGCTGCCGCCGGCCGCCGCCCCTCGGAGCGTCCCGGGGGGGAGGGGGGCGGTAACGGTCCCCGGGCGGAGCGCGGGCTGCGGCGGGAGCCGCGGTGGCCGCGGCAGCGACGGCGGCCCGGGGCGTTCGCCCCGGCAAAGTGCTGGCAGCCGAGCGGGAGGCGGCGGGCTGAGGCGGGCTGAGGCGGGCTGAGGCGGGCTGAGCGGGCCGGGGGGTGCCGGGCAGGGCGGGAGCCCGGCGCGCAGGGCTCGGTCCCGCCGGGAGGGGGTAACCGCCCTGGCCGGCTCGGTTCAGAGCGAAGACCCGGTAAAAGTGCACTTAACACTCTAGGCTTTCAGGTATTTGCCCATTTGTTTGCCTCTTAACCTTCACGATCATAGTATGGAATAGTAAAGAAACTGTTTTATTTATTTATTTAGAGACTGGTCGAACATAATATAGCAGCGACTACCAGATCACCAAAATGGGGAGTGGTGTTACTACACGAGAAAAAAAAAAAAAAATATAAGTGTTGAACGTCAAACAACGGCTGTTGATGTATGTTACCGGTTCATGCTTTTACTTACGGCCTCTTTGTGGCTTCGGGCTTTGAACTGGCACTCGCTTAGCTGTGTGAACAGTGATGGGGCTTAGCAGGGCGCCTGGCGTCAAACCATCGGCGGCTTCTTACCAGGGTGCTTTACCAGTAATGCCAGAACAGTAAAAAAGGGAGACTTAGGTTTGTTCGTTTCTTTTACTCAAAAGTTAATTATGAAATTATATAAGCTAAACTCCAAATACAGTCTTATTTTCAAGTAAAAGTATCGTTCAGGTCTGCTTATTAGCATGAATAGGAATAAAAATTTGAACTCGTGGTTATGTCAGTGTAGCTTTTGTATCTAGACAAACTCTATGTGTTTTTTTTTTAAAAACAGATCACAAGATGTATTTTCAAGAGCAATTCATTAATTTTGCCAGAAATGATTGCTGATCATTTCTCATGAAGTTA